TATCTGTGTGCACGTCCACAAGTCCCTGTACTCCGAAGTTCCCTTCCCCGGGACATGGTACCAACTGCAGGGATTGGGTCAGAACCGCTAGCAAGAAACACTCTCTCTGGATTTTATTTTCCCTTAAACGGCACTGAAAATAGAAATAACTCAGGAATATCCCATTTTTAGAAGTGTCATTTTAGGAAGATTTTGCTCACAGGGGGGATTTTGCACTTAAGGGAATGCTTAAGATTCTAATCTCAACTTTCTGCATATTTTATTTTTGACAGGGTTTTGAAAAGGGGAAAAAATGTAAAATGTTTAGATATTTTCTGAGACCACCTCTAGTGACAGATTTCCCTAAAGCTGAAGAAGAAAAGACGGCCCTGATTTCCAGGGAAAGGGTTATTTTTCCTTTCAACTAACGAAGCGCTACGTTTAAAACTCACCGGGTAAACCTACATCCCAGTGCAATGATGAGCCTTGTTGAAATTTCCGCGGGGAGCCAAGCGGGAAAAGCCTGGCACAGGCATCTGCCCTACAGAGCGCTCAGTTCTACTTTTGCTTTGTGGCAATGGGGTCAGGGCTACCCCCGGGGGCGCGGGGAGGGACTGTGGCCATGGCCCTCTCCCTTCTCCCAAAGGCGGAGGGGAAAGTCTCTCTCGCCGCTGACCTGAGCCGCCTGGTAGGAAAGAGTTCATTCCGCGCAGGAACTTCATGAGCTGCGTGAAAAGCCCTTCGCACTGGGGGTGCGGGTCCCCCTCCGCCGAGTCCCCCCCGCCCCCCGCCTGCTTCCCACTCACTCGGGTGCCTCGCTGCTGCGAAGGCGCCGCGGGGGTGGGTTTCTGGTTCGCAGGTGTGGGAACCCCAAGTGCCGGCCAGATTCGGAATAAACCAGCAGGACTGTCCTGCTATCACCATCCTCCTGGGCGTGCGAACCGGGGTGCGCTGGTTGCGATGCTCAGCGGGGCGTCTTGAAAGGCTGCACGGGGAGCATCTATGGCTGAACCCTCTCCGGACTAAGCTGGGAACTTGACTCCCGCTGGGAGGCCTGTGGGGGGGGGGGGGGGCGACCCGTAGCCCCTCGCGGGGTTTAGGGTTTCAAACCGCCCCAGCCCGGGAGGAGCCCCCTCTGACCTTCCAGAGGCGCGGGTACCCCGATCTGCGCTCTCCCCTCCGCTGGGCCCATGTTTGCCTGAGCCGCCCCGCGCCCCCGGAGGTCCCTGGGGGTGTAGCGGAGGCCCCGGAGCGCCCGGTGGCTCCTGGGCGAATGCACGCGCCCCGACAGCAGCGCTTCTCACTCCCGAGTCCTCCAGGGCGGGCGGGCGGTCCGGGCAGGGGCGCCGGCGCTTTGGGACTGCGCGGTATTTGGAATCCCTTGGCCCACGCAGAGGGTGGGCGTTGGTGGGGGGGGGGGGGGCTCTATTCATGAAGTGGGGCTTCTTAAAAAAAAAAAAAAAAAGACAAGCGAGGTTTCTATCTCAGACCCCAGGCCAGTGAAACCATCAAAACGCAGCGGATGCGGGCGTCCCGACTTCCCGCAGGAGCAGGGCCGGCCCGCCTGGGAGAAGCGCGGGAGGCAGGTTTCTGGGGACCCCGCGCACGGACGGCCTGGGGCGGCCGACCGCGGTGTCCGGTAAAGGGGCTTCGGGAAGAGACCCCGACGCGGGCCAGTCGGGACCCCGTGCTCCCCGGTTCCCGCGCCATCAGCTCCGCTGCTGGGCAGCTGGGGCGGGACGCGGCCGCGCGGGCTAGCTCCCTGGGCCGTTTCCTGTCGATTCCCCCCAAAACTGAAGTTCTTCCAAGAGCGGCCCAAAGGCCGCGAGGGCCGGCAGAACCCAGCGCCTTCGGGGCGTTCCGGGTGCAGTGCGGCGGCTGGGCGTCCAGGGCGGCGAGCAAGGGCCGCTGCTGCCCCCTGGCGTCCGCGCGGCCGCGGCGTCGTCCTCCAGCCGCTCCGCCCGAGGCGCCTCGCGGGTCCTGGGACCCGGCAGCAGCCTGGGACCCTCCCTGGCCCTCGCCTCCGACAGGCAGGCCCGCTGGCAGAGCCCGATGGGAGTGCGGGGCGGCAGCCCCCCGACCGCGCATCTACCCGGGGAGGGGGGGCGGGGGGACCCGGAGGGGGTGGGGGGCCCCCATCTCGAGGGAGTTGAAGTTGAGGGCTCCGAGGGCAGCTGGGGACGGGCTCCGGGTGCGCCCTACCTGGAGGTGAGGGACCCCGCAGGGAGGGAGGGACCCTCAGTGCGGGGGACAATGCACCGGGCGGGTCCCCCTAAACTATGCACAAATGCCCGCGGCGCCGGGCCCAGCGGGAAGTTCCCGCCCGCGCGCAAAGCTGGGGTGGGTTCGGCACCCGGGCCGCGCGCGCAGGGGCGGGGGGAGTAGCCGGGCCGTTTCCGGGGAGCCGCGGGTGGGTGTGGGGCTCCGGCGACCCCGGCCCAGCGCGAGGTTTAGCGCCGCCCTCGGGGCAGCCTCGCTCCGAGGACGGGGGGCGAACCCGGCGGGTGCTTGCAACTTTCTTTCCAGTCGCAAGTTCTTTGGGGTCTTGTCTGACTGGGAAAGCCCTTTGCTGGCGGCTAAGCACACGGCCGGAGCGAGGCGCGCTGCGTAATTAAGCCGCAGCCCAGACGCGGCGAAAACACCAATTAAAGAAAACAAGCCAAGAGTGGAAACTACTAACACAAGACCCGTGTTGTGGCCACCGAGAACCCTCTGGCTTCATTAGGACTCAGTGCCACTCCGCAGCCGCTGCCAACCCGCCCTCGGCCTCCCAGTCCCCTCGTGGTCGAGTCGCACCCACTCCGGGGAAGCGGGGGCTCGGGTGCGGCCGCCCGCGGAGGAGCTGGGGCTGCTCTCCGATCCCGGGAGCCTCGCGGCGGCCGCGATGGCCGCTGTCTCTCCGGGGTGCGCGGGGCGTCTCCCTCCTGCTGGTCTCCTCCTGCCGCTCCGTGTGCAACTCGCAGCCCGAGTCCTCCCGGCCGGCCGTCCTCCTCTTCCTCCATCCACCTCCTCGGTCCCCGGGCCGCGGCTGCCAGCCGCGCCGCTGGGCACTGAAGGCCCAGGGCCCCAGGCCGCGCGCGCCGGTGCGTGTGTGCACAGCCGCGGGGCGGGGCGGGGCCTCGGGGAGCGTGGGAGCCGGTGCGTGTGTGTGCGCGGACGCGGGTGCGTGGGGACCGCGGGGGCCGCCGACTCCCCGCCCCGGTGCGTACAGTAGCGCGCGGCGGCGGCGGGGGCGCGCGGGCCAATTCCAGGAGCCCTGGGCGGGGAGCCGCGCCCTGGCTGATACCGGAAAGGCCTGCGATTGGCCCGCGGCCGCCCCTATGCAAACGAGCTGAGGGAATGGAATTCCTCGGGCCGGGCTTACAGTAAAAGCACGTTCATTTCCAGGCACTCTCATTCATAGAGCCAGCGGGCGCGGCGCGGCGCGGCGCGGCGGGACGGTCGGCACGGGCGCCCCGCGGCCGGACCAGCAGGCAGCACGCCGCCGGCCCTGGCCGGCAGGCACCCTTCCCCGGGCTCCGGGGACGCGAGAAGAAAGTCAACCTTCGCTGCTTCTCCTTGACCCGCGTTGGAGCTTCGATTTTTTATTTTTTTCCCCTTTCGTTCTTACTTTTGAATGAACTGGTTTCTTGGCTGGATGGTTCCACTTCTTTCCTGGCTGTGAACTTTTCCCGGTTGTTTTCCTTTGACAACTGCAGGAGAAAGTGCGCTGTGTCGCGAGGCGAGCCGCGAAGTTGCCTGTGCGTGGCAGTGTGCGTGGGAGTGTGTGCGTGGGTAACTCGAGCGGCCCCCGGTCCGTGTCGATCTGCGCTGCGGCGCCCCCTCCTCCGGAGGCCCGCTCCACCTGCTGCGGTTACGCGGTGGTTGTGGGTACCGCGGGGCCTGGCAGTTCACAGGCCGGCGCTGGGGAGGCCCTGGAGGAAGATCCGCTCGCTGCCGCCTCCCGCCGGGGCTGACTCACCGAGCCCGGCAGACAGCGGCTGGCTCCGGGAGTGCATGTCTGCGTGCGTGTGACTCCGCCGCTGTTCGACTCCCACCAAACCACGGGATCAGCCACAAACTTAACCAATATCCCCAAACCCGAGTTCTCAGATGTGGAGAGCTGTTTCCCTGTGTGTCATCAACGTGGATTTTTTTTTTTAAGATCAGCTTTTCTTTGAAAAGCTGAATTTTTGGAACTGAGCATTCTGCCAGAACTTATTGAGAGACCATGACAAGTATTTCTACCCGGCCCTTCTCCAACTACTGAAGCTGATTTTCAAGGCTACTTTAAAAAAAAAAAATCGGCAGCGGACATTAATGGATTTCTGTTGTGTTTAAATTCTCTACAGATTGTCTTGTAAATATTTTATGAAGTAGAGCATATGTATATATATTTATATGTGTGTGTATATATGCACATACATTAGTAGCGCGACCTTCGGAAGTCGCGGCTCTTGGTGTTGGAGGACCCAGGCCAGTTTTGCATGATAAAAGCGGCGATGTTTATGGAAGACGACCCTGTATTTTCTGTTGTGTTGGGACGTTAGACAAAACTCACCTGGGAAAACTGACAGGCGGTTAACTACTGGAACTTCCAAACTGTGCGGTTGCCGGTCCTTTATCTCTCCGCAGACATGTTGTAGGGAGTGTATGGGGATCTTGCCCCCCGAAACTTTTCTGACAGCCAAAGACTGAGCTGAAATTCTCAAAGCAAGACTCGGGCGAAGACAGTCCAGTCCCCCTTGGCATTTGGCTTTGGATTCTGGTCGCCCACTTTTAAAGCACTCAGCAGCCGGATGCTGGGAGCCCTGCCCGCCCGGGTCTGAGGCCCGTGGGCAAAACCAGAACTTGCCCCTCCTGGACAGTTTGTAACTTAAGTCAGCCCCCGCCCCCAGCCCCTGCGGCAGTCCAGGCCCCTGAACTTGTATGTGGGTCTCCCGGGAGCTGCTGGCTGAAGATCCGCGCCCCCGCCGCCCTCTGCTAGGAGCTGTTTGCAGGGTCCTAACTCAATCGGCTTGTTGTGATGCGTATCCCCGTAGATGCCAGCACGAGCCGCCGCTTCACGCCGCCGTCCACCGCGCTGAGCCCGGGCAAGATGAGCGAGGCGCTGCCGCTGGGCGCCCCGGACGCCGGCGCCGCCCTGGCCGGCAAGCTGAGGAGCGGCGACCGCAGCATGGTGGAGGTGCTGGCCGACCACCCGGGCGAGCTGGTGCGCACCGACAGCCCCAACTTCCTCTGCTCCGTGCTGCCCACGCACTGGCGCTGCAACAAGACGCTGCCCATCGCTTTCAAGGTATGCGGCCTGGAGCGGGTGGCGGGAGCACGGGCGGGCGGAGGCCAGCAGAGGCCGAGGCGGAGGCGACCCGGAGGCCAGCAGCCAGGCGGCGCGTCCGGCCCCTAGTCCGTCCCCCAGCGCGGGAGCCGGGGGATGCTGCGTTTCCGTGGCGACCCTCCAAGGGACCCGCCTCGGCCCACCCCGGCTGCCTCTGGGGAGGGCTGCAAAAATCGGAAGCCCCCAGACCTTCCCCGGAGGGCGGTGGGGACCTCCCTAGCGGGTCTTTAGCTTTGATACAAAGTAGCAAAAGTCAGAACCCACTGGCCGCGGCAGCCCGGCCGGGGCGAGGCTGGTTGGTCCCAGGCTTCCCTCCCCGCGGGCTTAACCCCCAAACCCTCCTGCCTGTTCTCCATGGAGCAGGGGGAAGGGATGCTTTCAGACCTTGGGTCCCTGAAGACACACTGACCCGGAGAACTGTCAGGGCTCCCCACCCCCTCGAACATCCCTGTGGCAATTAGCATGTCCGAAGTCCACCAGCAGGCAGTTAAGTTTGCGAAAGTTTTTGAAGTTTTTGCAAGCCTCCAGCCTGCTCCTGCCAGAAGCCTCAAGGAGCGAATCCAGTTTCTTTTCCTGGAACCGTCCCGAGCAGCTTTATCTCTCGGGCTCACCTAGCTTAAGCCCAGCCCGGGGCAGCGGAAGGCAGTCAGGCTGCGTTTGGGAATCGGGGTCTAGGCGGCCAGCGTCCCTGTTTGCGGACCAGGCACCTTCAGCTGAGCAGCCCCAGCCCCAGATCGTGCCCTTGCTTTGAGCTGCTTTTAAGAACCTTGGCCTTCGGTGGGGACATATAAACAACCCCGGAGTTTTTAAACAACCACTCCACCGCTCTGGCAGCAGCCGCCGGAATTTAATTGCGGCCTTGGGGATTCTGTTCTTCTGTCCTGGGTGGGTCTAAGCAGGCTCAGCTTTTCAGTGCAATCAGTCCAATCACTTCCTGTTCATTTTAAGGGCAAAGGCAGGCAGGTGGGAAAAAAAAAAAGAAAAAAAAGCTGTAAAGAGCAGCTACTCTTTTTTTTTTTTAATCTGATTAAATTATTGTCCCCTTTAAGGGGAGATCAATTTACTATCAGCTTTCCATGGTTCCAGGGCTCGTGGGATCTCGATCTAGTTACAAGGAAGAGTGTTCACTCTTTTGCAAAGTGCTGTCGGAGTTCTCTATTTTTAAGCTTTATGCACCTTCCAGACTTCGATTCTGATTCTAAAGCAAAACAAAATGTGCTGTTGGCTGTGCCTCTAGCTTGCCGCCTGCCCTCTGTCTCCTGAAGGAGAGTTTCTGAGGGGTGTGGGCCAGCCTGGCCTCGTCCCCACCCCACCTCCCTTTATCTGGATTTGCTCAGGAGCCCATTCCCACGTAAAATCGCCTAATCCCTTCCCATCCAGAGCCTCCTCCCAGAGAGGACCAAGTCCCCTGTGAGAGGGACCTGAAGCCCGGGCCCTGGGTGTCCCTCGGATAAGAGCGGAGGGATGGAGCCAGGCCAGTGAGCAGCCTGGGCACTCCCCCGGCGCCCCACATGCAGGGGTCCATGGCTTCCCTCGGAGTGAGTCAGGGTCGCTTCTGAATCTCCCTGCTCTGCCAGACACCCCCCCCCCCGCCCCCGCCCAGAACTAGGTGATGACTAGAGACTCTGCAGGACTTGGAGCCTGTAGTTTCTCAAGCCACCATGTGGACATAGTCCTTTCCTTCTAAAAGAAGGAAAAAATCAGATAGATTGCTTCATGAGCTTCCAGGGGTTGTTTTTTGTGTTTGTTTGTTTGTTTGTTTAGCAGAAACCTTACTCACTGCAGAGGTTTCCTTTGGAAAATGACTTTTGACTGCTCTTTTTTTCATCCAAGTTGCTGTACTGAGTGAGGGTGGGTGGGCGGCTACAAGATCAAGGCAGGGAGCTCTGGGAACGATCCCCCCTGCGTCCTGAGAGCACTCCGGGGAAAGGACAGCAGAGAAGTCGGGCCCCTGGACGAAGCCAGGCCCCTTCCTGCGGGAACCTGCTCAGCCCGGAGCTGGAGGAGCCAGAGGCTCTCAGGAGGGAGCAGTGTGGGGGGCAGGGGTGAAAGGCAGCTCAGCCCACAGGCCGGGGCGCGGTGTGCACGTCCCGGGCTCCATCCGCACCACCCACCCCCCACCTCCCAGGCCGCTTCCCCAGAAATCGTTCCTGTACAGTTTGGGCTGTACGTAAGCCTCAGACAATCCCTCTAAGAAGTTAATCAGGAAAGAATTACGCTGTTCCCTGTAATAAGGGGGGAAATGTGAACCGGTGAGCAAGCCTGGCGATATTGGCGAAAAGAGCGGCTCAGCCATTCTTCCAGAGTCTTCTGAAGAACTCAGCTCTAATCTTTGAAACTAAAGGGAGATTAAAATGATGGATTTCCCTTAAAATAGATGAAAATCATCCCAGTTGCTTATCCGGGATCCCATCATGCCCCCCCCCCCCGCCCCCACGGAGCCCCTCCCTTGTTTAGGGTCGGAGAGCGGTGTAGCGGACTATTGAGAAAACCTTGCCTCTGCTAGTCACCCCTTCTGTGCAGGGGCAGCCTGGAGAGCTGCTGGGGAGGCGCCGGGCACGCTTTGTACGAGGGTAACATTACAGTCCGTTTAGGCCCTGCTGCACCGAGTCCGAAGGCACAGCACAGACACGCCTTCCGCCAGCTCAGAGGCCTTGGTGCTGGTGGAGTGTTCTTTCCATAAGAAAGAAACGGGTCATGCCTCCGTGGGTGCGACGCCGTCCTGAGCTTGGCAGTAGATGTCATCGCGGCTGGATTGCAGGTTCCACCTCAGAGCCTTCTCTGAAACGCTAGGAAATGAGGGCTTTGAAATAAATGAGTTGTAACTGCAAGTTCAGCCTAATTGGAGCGGGTTTCCATGCCAGTTCGAGCCGTGAGCAGCCGGGCCAAGAGCAGTGTGGGTAGGTCTCTGGGTAAAGGGTGGATATTTCGCCCAACTTCCTGATACTTCCAAAGCAGAGAAGTAAAACAAAATACGAGATACCCTTTGGCCGACAAGTCCCTTCTTGCCTGTTTGGTCTGCGCTAGAATGAAAATGTTTGTGCTTCCTCCTCTATTGTGTATCGCTTTCCATTCCCGTCGCTTTGTTTTTCTGTTTAAAGTTAGATTTTTTTTAATATTCCCTCTATATTTGCTTATCAATGATAAAATCTTTCAAACCAGCAGGCGTGTTAGTTTTAAATTGAACAAAAAATTTACCTAGTCTGAGGGCGCTTGTTGATCATGAGATGCTGTACATTATCTAAATGAATATGATTTTCCTGGATTTAATATTCTCTTCCTTCCCCACATGGAAAAACACATCCCTCCAAGATCAATAAAAGGCCACGTAAGTGATCTTGGAGCCCCCAATTCTCTTTGATTCCTGCTGCATTTTTTTAAAACCAGAAGGGTAGGAGTTAAACTCCTAATTTTTTTGTCTCCAATCCCAACCTCCACCATCTTTCCTTAGTTGGCCACCATGGTCCCCTTGCTCTGTTTGTTCTACTGGCACCACCTCCTGAAGCCAGGCAGTTACTGCCGAGGGCGGCGTGGACGGTGAGCGAGGCCTAGCCTGGAGCACTATGCGGGGAGCAGGCGGGAGGCGGGAGGCTTGCCATAGGTTTGGGGAGGTGGAAAGCAGTTGTGTATCTCCCCCTCTTCACGTAGCCTGCCCCGAGCATGAGTGGCTCGGCCGGAAAGCCATGTGGTGGATCCCGCCCCCGTGTGCTCCCTGAACGTTGCATTAAAATCAAGGAGCCGGGTCACCACCGGGAGAGGGGGATGAGAAAGTAAAAATGTGTGTTCAAGGAGACATTTCGACACTCCGAGCTAATTTCACACGGGGAACTGAAAACGGCGAGAAAGAAAAAAAAAGTGGAAACATGTATAAGAGCCTGAAGTTTTTAAGAGAAGAACAAAGCAGGCACATTTCGTGGGCATCGAAAAAATAGCAGCAAGAACTAAATAACCGATTGGGGAGATTGATTTCAATGATGTTTTTTGAAACAAAAGGGAGTTGTCATATTATTGCTCTTAATTAAATGGCAACACACACACTTATAATGGGAACTAAATGCCTAATTAGAGGGCGCCTGGGGGACGAACAGCTGTGTGTGTAAACCTCCGGCATAGGAAACATAGCCACCAATTGCACAGAAAGGATGGGAGAGGATGGGAAAGAAAGATAAGGAGCCAGACCTCAGGTGACTGTGCGAGTGGGATGAGTAGGTGAGGAGGTGCCCACCTCCCGTGTGAGGGCCGCTGCTCGGGGCCCCCCCCGCCCCGCCCAGCACGGGGTCCGTTCTCCATCGTGCTCCCAAGAGCCCGAGAGCTGGAGCATCTTGGGGAATGACAGCATTAGCGGACCCCGGGGGAGTATGACCACTGAGCGGGCCACGGAGGCGGGACTTTGAGAAACGTGGCTTTGCTGTCGGGCGAGCGAGCCGATGGCGCCTTCCTTACAGACGGGAAAGGAGGCTGCACGTGAAGGTGTTGGCCAAAATGACCCAGCAGTTCTCAGGGGAAAACCGGGAGGTGGGAACAGGAGAGGCGGGCCCTACCGAATGCTCGACTGCCAGGACTGGAAAACAAAAACAGCCAAACTGTGTCTATAACTGGGATGGACGCCACAGATTCCACTAGAGAGAGAGATGGGGAGAGAGAGAGAGAGAGAGAGAGAGAGAGAGAGAGAGAGAGAGAGCGCCACGGGAGAGACCAGAAGTGGCAGGAACAGGGAAAGCTCGGGCCTTTGGTGAGAAACTCTGAGGTCACTGGAGAAACAGCAACAGCGGCAGTGCAGCTGCGGTAAAGGCCCAGGCCAGCAAGCCTGTGTCCAGCGGGTCAAGCGATGACCCAGACATGGACTCTCCTCCGCAGGCCCCTTCCTGCTGCCCTCCTTGGGCCATTTTCCTTTGAAATGACCGCTCTCTTGTTACCTGAGCTTCAACACGATGTGTCTGCCCGCTTTCGTCAGTAGCCCCGATAGGAAATCCATTTCCGGTCAATGACATGAAGGGATTCCTCCTCGGGGTCGGCCGGGGGGAGGACCCTCAGGCACCTGTGCGGGCGGAGTGAGGCCGCCTCGGGGACTCACAGGCTCACACCGGCGACGGCCCCCTCCTGAGGTCGCAGGGGCGCCGGACAGCGGGCCTCGCCTCGGAGGCTGAGGTTTGGTCTCAGCCATAGCAGAGGGGTCTGCCTGGCGTGCCCCAGCTCGCTGCTCGTGGAAATCAGGAGTGTAGACGTGAGCAGGGGTTTCGAAGGTGCACTGCAGGGGGCAGCTTCGGTCACGCGGGAATCCTCCGCTCTCGGTTCTAAGGGTCAGATTTAATTTTAGGGAAATGAGTTTAGACACTACAAGTCAATTGGCCCGAGTAGGCCGGCCAGCAAGGCCTGGACAAGTGGAAGGAAGATGGGCTAGGTTGTAAACTTCCAGAAACAAGACCTCCTGGTGTTCAGACTTGGAGAGTTGAGAGCGCTGCGTGTTCGGGAGAAGGCATGGCTTGGCCAGGTCCTTGCTGTAGGCAGTCTTGCCCCAGCCGACCGCCCTGACCCTATGTCAGTTTCTTAGGATTTGGAGACTTATATTTAGCCATGCGTAATGGGTTTAAACGCAGAGCTTCCCGTCACTAACTTTTCTGTCGTTTTGCTTAATTTAGGATTGCTATTCGTGTGCAAACTAGCAAGGGTCACGTAACATGCATTTATTTTTGCAGTTTTTCCGTAAATGACATCACAGTTTAGGACACTCCTGATGTGTGCATTTGCCCCTTGACTGGCGTGTAGGTGGTGGCTCTCGGGGACGTTCCGGATGGGACGCTGGTCACCGTGATGGCCGGCAATGACGAGAACTACTCAGCCGAACTGAGAAACGCCACCGCGGCCATGAAGAACCAAGTCGCGAGATTCAATGACCTCAGGTTTGTCGGCCGGAGTGGAAGAGGTAGGTAGCTGAACTTGAATCACAAACTATTTACATGGCAACCGACCCAAATTTCAAAACCTCGAGATATTTCTGTGGTGGGATTCCCTAGAAACACAGTCTTTCTTGTTATTATTGCTACATCGAGCCTCTAAAAATATTAATTTAGAATTTAACATTTTTAACAGAATCTAGTTTTACATTATTGCTTTCTGATTGGCAGCATGTAAAACATGAATTTTGGATTTCGAGGAAGATGAATTTTGGATTTCAGTTCTTTATGAAAGTGTAAAAATACAAAACTAGGATTATTCAATGGGGGTTCTGTCTTTGATGATTATCAGAAATCTCTATAATGGGAGCCCTTAACTTGTGATCCGTGTGCTCCCTGTGGCAGGTGATAGGGTTTCAGGTGACCACATCTAATAATTTTAAGGGAGGGGCCGTGCATGATTATTGAAATTCGGCCTCAGGTAAGCTTGCCCTTTTATGGTAAAATGTGAAGAAATGGTGGTTGGTAAGCTTGACAGAATATGACTTCCTAGTCCATGGAATGTGGGTGCCTTGCTCTCGCTTGAAGGGTTTGGCCCAGCTCACATGTCCGGGACTGACCATAGGAAAGACTGGATGATGCAGGAGAACCATTGGGTCCGGGCAGTTCTGTGTGTGGTGTTATTTGTTGCCCGAGAGCAGGAAGAGGAGTGGCTGTTGGCTCATTGCAATCTCTTCTGCTTTCAAATTATTTTTAAATATTGTGTTTTCTCTGTATTGTAAGAACCCACGTCACACTTATAAATAGCAGTAAGCACTAGAAGTTTAATTGACAGAGGCGGGACCGTTTGTTTTGAAAATCTAATTTTTATAATAGAAAAAAATATCATTTTGAGTATAGTAAAAAGACACGCTAAATACCCAAACAACAGCTGATGATTATTGTGTTAAAAACGTAAAGGTGCAACCAATGGACATTTAAACAAGAGTCATCATTACTCTTTATGAAGGCATTTAAAAATCTAAGGAAATCTGTGTTCTTAGGGGTTTTGATTAGTTTGGAGAAGGGGAGATGGTGACGGGAGGGGTGTTTGGCTATTGTTTTCAAAATAGAATCATAGTGAGGGTAATTTAAAAAACATAAGATGATTGAAAATCTATGTTCATCGCCCGAACTATGTTAATAATAGGACAATGCAAAGAAAATTATATCCACTGATTGGAAGCATGAGGGATGCTATAAGGTAAACCAGCATAAGTCGTTAAATGGGTTCACTTGTTCTGTTAAAAGTCCCCGCCTCTCAGTAAATGGAACTCACATTATGATTCAGAGATGTGTGTTTAGAAAACATCTTGAGGGCTTCGGATGAGTAGCTGGCAGAGTGGGTGCGAAGCCAATAAAAACCAAGGCCCCACCTCCTGGTCCGTGCCTACCAGCCCGGCTCCAGCAATCTCCGCTCTGTTCTTGTGGGTTTCCACTCTTAGGACTTCATAGCTGGGTAACCTTTGGTGGCCTTTCCGGAGAAAGTGATATTAGCATCGTGTGCCTCTGTGTGGCTCTGTGTGGCTCTGTGTGTCAGGTTTGGGTGATAAAAAGTTGTGGAAACGGTTCAGTGGCCAATGCCAGCGACATTTTTCCACAAGAAGCTCCGTGGTGGCTTTGTGGCCACGCACAGTCAGTGGGTGGATGAGAAAGAATGAGAGTTGGAGAGGAGCCTGCTTCCTTTTCTGGCGTTGGGGGCTGGTCTCTCGTCTCGCTGGCCATTTCTGGTTGGAGTGGGTGACTAATAGGTGCTTGTGTTTACCTGGGGAGCAGGGAGCTGTTTCCCCAAGGCGTGGATTGTTTGCACTTGGCTGCCTGGTCCATGCCAGTGTGCCCTTGAGTTTGCATAAAAGCCGGAGTAACGTAGCTACAACCCAGGCTGGGCTGTCTCTGGTCACCTGGAATGAGACAATGAGTTGAAGCGCCGTGAGTGGGCAGGATCTGTGTTGCACGGTGTCTGCTTCCCATGAGTGATAGTCAGGAATCCAAACCACAGGAGCCCTAATTGAACGTCTGGCCCCGTTAAGGTTACCCTGTGTGTTGTTGGGCTTGAGTAATTTTTTTTTTTTTTGGTCAGTGCTACCAGACAAAATTGAGCTGTCAGAAGGCCCTGTTTGTCCCAGAATTTCTCTCCACAGTCATAAAACACAGCTCGATTTTATTCTTTCAAGTGTGAGTGTCGACTCAACGTCTGCCAGATTTTTTTTTTTTTTTTTTTTTTTTGTAATTTGCTTCCCATTATGAAGAGAGCAGATGAGTCTCTCTCATTTGGACAATTAGCCTCAATCTTCCACAGGGAACCGTGCCCTTTAAAAGTTTCATTACGTTTATTTTTTATAAGTGATCTTAAGATGATTTTTCTGTTTTTCAAAATGTGCCTATAAACATGTCATTGGCATTGACACACCCCACAGGGGCCAAAGAGGCCCAGGCTTTTGGCTCATCCAAACATTTCCGTGCAGTTTCACACTCTGTCCCCAGGCAGCGTCCGGCATCTCCACGGGGCCTGGGGCTCAGCTCCCAGTGAGGGGAGAACGAGGAGCTCCCTTCTCATTGCCTGCTGCCGTCCAGGGAGCTTGTGGGGCCTCGGAGAAGCTGCCAGAGGCCGAACATGGAGGGGTTTTTGTGGTTTTTTGTGCTTTTTTTCTGTTCTGCAAAACTGATCTGTCTGGGCGCTGGCTGAGGTCCAGGTTCGCAGCTCTAACCTCAAGTTCAGCCTGCAACCGGGAGAACCTGCCCGTCCGGCTCTCATGGCCTCGGCCTGGCTGACTACCCTGTCCCCTAACGTCCATGGGCGAGGGCTTGGGCGCCCCAGCCTTCCTCCTTCCCCGCCGCCCCCCCTTGTGCTCCGTGCCAGTCGCACATCTTGCTCAGGTGTATGCGGCCTGGGCGTTTCCTGGCTCTCACACGGCGGCCCCACGGAGGGGGCCGGTTCCCTGGCGAAGATGAGGCGGCAGCTCCAGGAGCGGAGAGGTGGCTGCTCAGAGCGCTCACACTCACCCGCTCGCCCTGGGACGCCCCTGCCCCCAGAAAATGGGCGTTCGAGTCGAAAGGACTCCCGATGGCAGAGCCGATTAGCAGTTTACACCAGCAGTTGAGGCAGGAGCTACGGGTGTCTGCAGGTGTAAGCGGGGGCATCGCGGCTGCAGCGACAGACACTGCAGACGGTTTGGCCAGGAGATCCAGGAATGCTTCCGGCCCGGCCAGTCCTTCACCCCTCACTCGGGGCCCCGGCTCTGGTTCATTCACTTAGAACCAAGCAGTAGGTCTGCCGGGGAAGAGGGTCCTCGCAGATCCTCCTACCTCCCTAAGGATGCGACTTCTCATCTGTCGGGAACATAAGTCCCCTGGAGGCCTTCTCCCAAGGCGTCCTGTGCAAAGTCAGTTTCTGGGGCCGCGGAAGCTAATGCCGGAGCTAATGCCGGAGCTTCCGGGGACCCATGGGCCCCCCAAGCCAAGAACCTGTGGATTCAGACCTTCACCTGGGCCGTGGGGGGCCAGCCCCATTCTGTGCTGCGCGCTGTAGACAACTAGAGGCGCACCCATCAGTGAACGAGAGAGACGCACCCCCTGGCGCCCGTGCCACCGGCCGCTGTCTGCATGTGGCCAGGCCTGGAGTGCGTGCAGGACAGCAGGTTCCCTCAGGCTGAGCTGCAGACCCCGAGCTCTCGGTGTGGCTGCCGTGGCCCCTCGCGCAGGAAAAGGGCCCATCCCACCACGGGGAGGGCGCCCCTCGCACAGCTCCGGCCCGGCCTCAGAGTCGTCCTGTGGGTGCACAGCAGCGCGGCGAGGCTGCGGGTCTGCGCCCCGGGGACGGGCTTCCGGGCGGGTCTGGGGGTGTGCTGACCTCCCTGGCCCCCTTCATCTCCCCCACTTTAAAACAGTCCCCTGTCCGGGCGCCCTTATAACAGGAGGCTCCTTCGTCGCATTCTTACCGGGGGCGTCTTCCCAGACGTAACTTTACTGGCACCGTCGGGCTGTTGCATATTTGGGGGATGTTTCTGACTCGGAGGTGGTTTCACATGATTGGGGGGACGGTGCCGGGTGGGGGGAGGGGGTGGGGGCTGCCTGTCAGGTGAGGCAGAAGCTGTGGTGGAAGGAAGAGGTGCGCTCAGCACAGGGGTTCCGGGCGGACAGAGCCTGCCTTCACGGAGCGCTTGTTGCTGAGAAACGGCCCGAGTCCCGGTGGCCTGGCGGGACCGGAGTCAGTCTCTGCTCCACACGGACGGACTCCCGCAGCGGGGCAGCCCGGATGGCGGCGAGGATGGCGCCGGAGGTGGGAGCTGGCGGTCAGCTCTCCGCCGCAGTCCAGGACCAGGCATGAGCTGTATTAAAATCAGCTCTCCTATCCCTCCCCCCTTTTTTTGGCTGTGATTGATGTGCCCTCTACAATAAATACTACGCAGACCCCGACGCCTGTTTTGGGACGTCAGTGTGGGCAGATACGGATGGAAAGGCCCACCGGGGGTACGTGCACCTCGGGCAGCCGCAGGTCGAAGGCTGAGCTCCGAGATGGAGTTCATCTCCCAGATCAGGTTTCTCCCTCTGTTTCACGTTTCCCAATAAAACAGGAGCAACACTTTCTTACCGTCGGTTGGCTCCACCCCTGCCCCCCTCCAGGAGCGCCCCTGCCCCCAGAGGCCCTGGCAGGGGTGGGAGAGGGCAGCTGGCAGCCTGCTGGGGCCTGGCGCCCTGCCGCACGCTCCCGTCATGTTCCTCGCTGACTTTATGGGGTGTCGGGATGGCCGAGGCTGTCAGATGGCTTTTTGAAATTGAGGTTATGGGGGTGAACAATGTTTGTGGGTCCGTGGGCAGAAGCTGGACTTCTCCCCACCCACCCGCCACCCCTCCCTTGCCCGCGGGCTGGCGATGGCCGGGGACGGAGACTGTGGGTCAGAGCGCCTCGGAGAGAACGGGGGCTGAGTGATTTCAGAGCTTCCTGTTTCGGCAGCGAGCGAGCATCACAGACATAAACAGAGATCCGGCC